AGTTTTCATATTTTTAATTTTATTGATTTTTTTTGGACTGATAGAGATCTCTCTGGACTGACAAACTTCACATGTAGGGCTGGGTATTGGCCAGAGATTTCGTATTGCGATATATTGCAATATTTTTAACTGATTGCGATATGAATTGCAATATTTTCAATGTAATGAAAATGGCATTTTCTTACTGCATTTACTTTAATTTACATGCAGAATTTACATAACTATGATAAGTAACTAACACGAAGAAAAAAAAATCTTGTTGATTTCATTTAAGTTATGCTCTTAAATGTTCCCAAAAAACAACTTCTGTCTTACTGTTTATCTTAATAACAAACTTTCATAAGTCCTTTTTTTAATATTTAATCATTTTAATGACAAAATTCCTTAATCTAAGTATATTGCCAATATATCGATATTACAAATCGTATTGCGATACGATATTTTTTGTCTTTGTATTGCAATATATTGAAATATCGATATTATTGCCCAGCCCTATTCACATGGCTGTCAGTCCAAATGACTGAAAGCGGAAAAAAGATTTCAAGAACTCTGCTTTTAAAATCAACTCTTTGTTTTAATTTAATTGATTTACTTCATCGATCCACAAAATTAATTTGGAGCAATTAAGGACGCTATTGCAAGGTGTCACGTGATCACGTCATTTGGTGAATAAAAAAAGAATGTTTGCGGTAACTATTTCCGGAATAAGGAGCATGATATGTTCGCGCATGACAAAAGGGATTTGTTTTTCTAAAGTAGAGAAAAAAATTTGATATTAAAGGTTTTTACGATAAACTTAGAGTGTTGGTAAGCGTTGGCCATATTTTTATCTACATGAATGTGTTTTACAATTTGACACGTCTAGTTATTGTGCATCTCTGAACATTGAAATCTATTTCATAAAATATGAATTTGATTTATATCTTGAGATTAAGTCCTCATTTTAAAATTAAAATTTTATTTAAGATTGTTTTTACAATAGGATATACATCTTTGTATAGATAATTTCCAATAAGAGATTCAGACGGTGCAATTTATTAGATGCATGTATAAATACTTAGTATTGATGAACGAAAGCGATTTTGATATACGCATTACGATGAAGACCACTTATGCCTAGCAGACTTATTTTAAAAAAAAAAATATAGTGCAGAGGATTTTGTTTTATCCTTCAAGATCTTTAGCATTTTCAGCAGTGACATCGGCCATGAAAACATTAAATCATCGTCGCATATATAGCGTAACGTTAAACGATTGTTGTAAATGTTTTATGCGTCAAATTGAAAGACAACACACTTCCATAGAGGGATAATGTAGACGTATATGAAAAAGCCAACATTTGAATTCATCAAAGTAATTGGAATATAATTGAAAAATGAATTTAATTTTGAAAAATCACAAGGACATGAACATAAATGTTTTACTTGAGCATATATCATGAAGCGAAGCAAAAGTTATTTCAATCAACGATTAATGTTTTGACGTCAATTGTGTCATTATGACGTCACAATGGAGAAAGCGCTCATCTGTGTGCAAGAGAAACTGAAGTGTTCTTTCACTTGCAAAAAATCGGAAGGATAATATTTGTAAATGTAAAAATTAAAAATTAATAACTATTTAATATGCTAAATAAGATTATTTATGGATGAAGATATTTATTTCAAAAATATAATACAGATACAAGTTCTGTGTAAAAACTTCGATCTTTTCAATCAATGTGTTCAAATGTCTAACGCCCCCTAACTTAATCTTCACTTGATCACTATAAAGCATAGGAAATTATGGGATATGCAGATATCAATAAATTTGCAACACCTTCCTTTTCAGATTTCCATTTAATTCTTTATGAGCCTTCGATTAGTAAATATTTCGATTAAATCAACCGCATATAGGGTAGAGTTGAGTAAAAATATAATATTGGCACAAAAGTTACCAATCCCCGGCTTTAACTAGAAATAAATGTCTGCTGGAGGGTTTTATATCCTACGTGCCTGTGGTTATTTACAATAGGTCAGACCGTAGAGGGCAGTCTCATCAGAGACTTTGGTTATATGGACATTCAGGCAGGTGGTTTGGGTCCAGGTTCTAATCATGATCCCAATGGGAAGGGTGTGCCATGGCCACAATGAGGGATCAAAGTTTTTCATAAGAATATATACAGGGAAAAAATCTCAAGAATAGAAAAGCTATGTTTATAGTCATATCCTCATGTAGTGAAAATTCAAATTTGTTCAAATCTTGACTCAGGGAGGAGGGGGCACAATAGGGGATCATTTTTACAAAGTAATATATGTCGGGGGGATCTTTAAAAATCTTTTTTTTTTCTTCAAGAACAGCCTCTATTGATATGGAGGCATCTTCAGGTACATTGTAGTGTAAAATTCATCTGCCCTTTGAGTAACTTTAAATATACTGAACTCGTTTATGCTTTATTCAATGCAATTTTTAGCGATGTGGAATTGTCTCTTTTTAACTCACTAATTAGCTCTTCTGAGCCAAAGGCTCAAAGAGCTAATGTTATGGCCATTTGTGTGGTGTGTGTGCGTATTAACTTTTGAGAATATGGGCCATAACTCAAGAACGCCTTGGCCAATCAGTGTCAAATTTGTCACAGGGTATCATTGGCCCAAGGGCTACCATTTATACTAAAATAAGGGTTGGGACCCTTAAACAAGGGGAGATAATCAGGAAAATAAAACCAAAAGTACTGGTTGCTAAAAAATCTTCTTCTCCAGAACCACCAGGCAGATTTTCACCAAACTTACACACAAGGATCACAATATGTTGAAGATTAAAAATTGTTCAAGGCATGACCCTGGGGCAAAGGGCGTGGTCTCAAGGTCACTTCAAAGTTGACCTAAATTTACAATTGATAAAAACGTTTATATTTTGCTTACTATAAGGACTAGGATCATCAAATCTTGTAAGTTGATGCATCTTAAGACTTCACATCATGTTAAATCAAAAGTAGGTCACAGTGACCTACTTATTTAATTTTGCGGGCATTTGTTTTCAAATTGATTTGAAGGCATATTTTGGACACTTTAAGGCCTATGATCATCAAACTTTGTTAGTTGATGCATCTTGGGTCCTTGAACAACGTCAACTTAAAAGTAGGTCACCTTGACCTACTTTTTGAACTTTATGACATCCTTTTTAAAACATTTAATCCCATTATTGCAGACACTGAGAGGGTTAGAATCATCAAATCTTGTAAATTGCTGCATCTTGGGACCTTAAAACATATTTATGAAAAAGAAGGTCACTGTGACCTACTTTTTGAATTTTGCAGGCATATGTTTTCATATTGTTTAAAAGGCATATTTTGATTACCTTCAGACCTACGATCATCAAACTTGGTCAGCAGATGCATCTTGGGACTTTGAAAAATGTTGACTAAAATGTAGGTCACGGTGACCTACTTTTGACATTTTATGGCTTTATTTAAGTATCTTAGGTATTTATAAGCTTAGAATCATCAAAGTTTGTGAGTTGATGCACCTTGGGTTTTCGGAGAGTGACGACCAAAAAGTAGGTCATGGTGACCTACTTTTGACATTTTATAGGTTTATTTAAGCATCTTAGGTATTTATCAGCTTAGAATCATCAAACTTTGTGGGTTGATGCATCTTGGGTTTTCGGAGAGTTATGACCAAAAAGTAGGTCATGGTGACCTACTTTTGAATATCTCGGATACATATTGGCTGAGAATCATCAAACTTTGTCAGCTGATGTATTTTGGGCTTTCGAAAATCGCCTACTAAAAATTAGGTCACAATGACCTACTTTTAACATTTTATGGCTATAATTAAGTATCTCCAGTACTTATTGGCTTGGAATAATCAAACTTTGTCAGTTGATGCATTTTGGTTTTACCAAGAATGTAGATGAAAAAGTAGGTCAAAGTGACTTACTTTTGATTATCTCACATACTTATTGGCTTAGAATCTTCAATCTTTGTCTATTAATGCATCTTGAGTCCTCAGAAAACTTCAATCTTAAAGTAGGTCATTGTGACCTACTTATGTTTTTTTTTTTATAGCTTTATTAAAATATTTTCAGTTATAATTGGCTAAGAATCATCAAACTTTTTCAGTTGATGCAACTTGGCTCTTAGAATACTTAGGGTTAGAGGCTTCAAATAGAAGTGATAGGTTGTACAATTTATCAGAAGAGCGATTCAAGGCCCTTGGGCCTCTTGTTTTTTTAATTTTGTTCTTTGTCCGAGATTAGCACATACCGTTTCATAAATGAATTCGACTTTCCATCGGCGAGAAGAGTTTTGACGCTGCAGTTTACATAGATAAAAGATAACAAACACATGCATGCCATATATGGTTGTGTAATAAGTCATTGTAGAAGACAATAGTAATAAACAGTTTGTAAGTGCATTTCCTCTGAAAGTGTAAATGAATGCGTTTCCGAGGAGGGGGTACTGAGTGTAATTCGGAGTTAGATACCCTGTGTTATAATTAGATCTATATTAAGGATTAAAATTTATTTCCGAATCAAATGCATGTGCTCTCAGAATAGACCAATACTTTCAGTGTTGGTCATTCGAATCGAAATAAGCCTTCATTATTTTTGATAACTTCAGCATGTTCTATAAATACTTTAATAGTTACACTAAAGTTGTCTAAACTACCAATTTCAACAATTTTTCCATGTCGCAGTGTGACGTCATAATCAGATGTGCACAAGAAAGTCGTCGAAATCAAATAAATTGCGTACCCAATTTTAATGATGTCAGCAAACCCGCGACTACGTTAAGTCACATTTGAGTGCCTGAGATTGACAGTGAAAGCCCTGCTTTATGGCAACTTGCACCTGGTTTGCAATGTTAAAAGAGTGTATACTGCTGTAGTTGTTATAACTTGTATTTTCACTAAATATGTTCAGTTTATTATTTTTTTTATTTGTGTCTGATGCATAGTGAGATGAGCATAATAGTATATATAAATTATATATATCTGATATATTCACACACATCTATTTTTCAGTATGGAGTTCAAGAAATACAGAACCATAATACAAAGCATAAAGCTGTGCTGAATTATAAACAGGGTGGATGGTTTGGAAAAGATCTGAACAAAGTTGATGGATATATATACAGTCCTGAGTGAGTAATATCCATTTTTCTTAAAGGAAAAAAAGTGATTCTCTCAGTATAAACCTTGTCACAGGAAATTCACTTACAGGCATAATTAAAGGAAAAAAAATTTAATTCTTAAATGGCACTTCAAACAAGGTTATGTACAGTAGACATACTTCTTTTAACACAAGTCATATTTCAATCTCTACCCAGAGTTATTGTTCGCTTCGCTACAATACCTCTGTTAACGTCTAAATGCCAAGATTCTTGGCAAAACTTACTTTTACCTTTTGCTTCATAAATTATACATGTAAAACTTCTATATTCTTGGTGAACATCTTAAATAAAGGTTTATTAATGAGAATTAAAGTCAGATATCTCTTTTTCTCCATATTTTACAAGGGATTATTTCTCTTGACAGGACATTACGTACGTGGAAATTTAAAATGCTTTGCCGATAAATGTCAACATGGTTTAGTTTTTATAGACAAACAACTTACAGCATTGACACATATAAAAAAATCTAAAGGTGTTAATCTTCTTGCAGGCCATTTTAAACAACATTTGAAAAAAAGTAATGTCCCTACGCTACCAAACTACTATTTAGACGATGACAGAGGTGTAAGTGGATAAATCTGGGAAGAGATTGGTCATATTTATGAAAACTACACAGTCAAAACATGCTAGTTAGAGAATTTGTGACCCCACCTTATGGGGAAAAGGAGGATGCTCTGATGGGGGGGGAGGAGGGTCAAACCCCTCCTCCCCCTTCTCTTTCCCCGGATTGCAGAATTATTAATGTGTGTACTGAAGCAAATGAATTTAAGGGAAGTCGGGGCCATAGGGAGTAATGGTTTAAGTATTGACTGCAAAAGAGCTAAGTTCACTTTATGCAGAAAATGGCCCTGTACTTAGATCAATTCATTAACTATCACATTCTTGCCCATTTCATATATCAAAATAAAGTAGACACTAGGTGCTTCCTATAAAAAAATTTCTTTTCAAGAATTCAGCTATTGGAAAACAGGCTTTGAGAAATTGCAATATTCTTGAAATATGCAGAAAATATGTGTATCTGATTACCTTCAGCAAAGAATTAAAATATGAGCACAGCCTACAATCCAAAAAATAAAACATGTTTTTTGATCTTTAGAAACAGAACTTTCCTTATGTATTTGCATATTTTGGATCAGAGGTTGTACTCTATATGAATATTGAAAAAATATTCAACTGTAGGTCATTTTCAAAGGAATTTACAGGATATGAGGAAAATGACTCATTTTACATAATGCATTATGTCATAATGCATTGACTAGAGGGAAATTACGTCATGATTAATAGATACGTGGTCACCAACACTCAAAGTGATAAATACTGCATTTGCAACCTAAACTGAGCGGTTTTGATTTTCAGAAATTCTCAGGGCCAAAGAAGGCCCAAAGTGGCTCTTGCTCTTTCAATAGCTTCTTAAGATTTCATCTGGAAAATAAATGTTTATGCACAGACAGAATATATGAATGAACGACCTTGACTTCACTTGACCTCAAAATCAATAGGTGTCTTACTTAGGCCATAGGAAGTTGTGGTATATTAAATTTCATTGCAAAAGCTCAAAGCTAGGCTTCTTGAGATATGTCATGGAAATGAACATGTAAACACGGATAGAAATTTTGAATTTATGACTTTGACCTTTTGACCTCAAAATAAATAGGGGTCTTCCTTAGGCCATGGGGATTGTTGTGTAAAAATTCACTGTAAAAGCTCATTTAGCGAGCTTTTCTGATCAAAATCTGTCGTCGGCAACGTCGTTGTTGTTGTAAACTTTTCACATTTTCATCTTCTTCTCAAGAACCATTGGGCCAGTTTCAACCAACTTGCCATAAAGTATCCTAGGGTAAAGGGGATTCAAGTTTGTTCAAATTAAGGGCCATGCCCTTTTCCAAGGGGATATATGATGAATTAGTGAAAAATTAATGTCATCTTTTAAAAATCTTCTTCTCAAGAACCATTGGACCAGGAAAGATAAAACTCGTGTGGAAGCATCCTCAGGTAGTGTAGATTCAAGTTTGTTCATGAGCCCCAGGGGTAGAAGGGGCCAAAATGGGGGATCAAAATTTAACATAGGAAAACATAGGAAAAATCTTTAAAAATCTTCTTCTCAAGAACAGAGTTTATATATCATGATACAACTGAAATATTGAAATATATAAGAAAAATCTTTAAAAACCTTCTCCTCATGAAGCACTGGATCAGGAAAGCTGAAATCAAGTGGAAGCATCCTGGGATAGATTCTAACTTGTTCAAATCATGACCCCCCAGGTGTAGGGCCCACAATAGGGAATCCAAGTTTTACATTAGAATTTCTTCTAAAGAACCACTGGGCCAGAAAAGCTGAAACTTATGTGGAAGCATCCTGTCATAGTGTAGAATGTATACTGTTCAAATCTTGACCCCTGATTTTAGGGTGGGGCTACAATAGGTATAACAAGTGGGAAAATCTGGTGAAGAACAGTAGGGCCAAAGTTATTCGGGTGAGTGCTGTGGCCTATGAGTCTCTTGTTTATGTGATGTCACGGTATGCATTTCATTTGACACATGGTGCATGAGCCAGAGTTGTGTAAAGTATTTGTGGCATAGTCAAAGCCAAAGCCGCTGAAATATGAAAATCGCTATAATTAGTAAACACTAAACATACAGTCCATGCTTGTACATCTGAGTATTTTTATGCCCCCCTTCGAAGAAGGGAGGGCATATTGCTTTGCTGCTGTCTGTCGGTCGGTCCATTTAGTTTCCATTCATTTTCTTCACAACTGTTGCACCTACTGAAATGAAATTTGGTATACAGATATATCAGGTGAATATCTAGGTCAAGTTTTGTTTTGGGTACGATCGCACCATTTTTGACAGAGTTATGCCCCTTGGACTTAGAAAAAATTCCAATTACTTGCAGTTTCCATTCATTTTCTTCGGAGAGGTTGCACATATTGAAATGAAATTTAGTACATGTATACAGATTTGTCAGATGAATATTGACCTACAGATCTGACAGATGAATATCTAGGTCAAGTTCTGTTCTGGGTACGATCGCACCATTTCTGACAGAGTTTTGTTTCTTGGACTTGGAAAAATTCCAATTATTTGCAGTTTCCATTCATTTTCTTCGGAGAGATTGCACATATTGAAATGAAATTTAGTATACAGATTTGTCAGATGAATATCTAGTTCAAGTTCTGTTTTGGGCAAGATCTCACCATTTTTGACAGAGTTATGCCCTTTTGGACTTAGAAAAATTCCAATTTGTGGGGGTGGAGAGCATAAGTGTTTTACAAACATCTCTTGTTTGAAAAATGAATTGTCTTGATTAACTACTAGGCCTGTCAAACTACCGCTAGGGTTTGCTCTTATGAATGATGACTCATTGCTGAAACTTGTTGAGAGCAGTTCCAATATTTATATTTATACCAAGTCAGTTTTTAGTATATACCAAGTGTTTCTTTGCTGTCAGTAGAATCCAGTGGTTTTAAAATGTGCGATAATGTTAAATTTATTTACTACTCCGTCGTCCGTCCGTCTGTCTGTCTGTAAACAATTTTTCAAAATGCTACTCCTCCTACAGTTTTGGTCCGATTTCAATATAACTTGGCACACAAGTAGACTACACTAAGATACATAATTTTGTGCATCGGTTTTTGATATTCGATGAACGGTGTTGCCGTGGTTACTAAAAATAGAAATTTCTGTGAAATTCTTTCAAAATGCTTCTTCCTCCTACAGTTTTGGTCTAATTTCAATATAACTTGGCACAAAAGTAGACTACACTAAGATACATAATTCTGTGCATCGGTTTATTGAAATTTCGATGAACGGTGTTGCCGTGGTTACTAAAAATAGAAATTTCTGTGAAATTGTTTCAAAATGCTACTCCTCCTACAGTTTTGGTCCAATTTCAATATTACTTGGCACACAAGTAGACTATACTAAAATACATAATTCTGTGCATCGGTTTTTGATTTCGATGAACGGTGTTGCCGTGGTTACTAAAAATAGAAATTTCTGTGAAATTGTTTCAAAATGCTACTCCTCCTACAGATTTGGTCCAATTTCAGTATAACTTGGCACACAAGTAAACTACACTAAGATACATAATTCTGTATATCGGTTTTTGATTTCGATAAACGGTGTTGCCGTGGTTACTAAAAATAGAAATTTCTGTGAAATTCTTTCAAAATGCTACTCCTCCTACAGTTTTGGTCCAATTTCATTATAACTTGGCTCACAAGTAGACTACACTAAGATACATAATTCTGTGCATCGGTTTTTGATTTCGATGAACGGTGTTGCCTTGGTTACTAAAAATAGAAATTTCTGTGAAATTCTTTCAAAATGCTACTCCTCCTACAGATTTGGTTAAATAAACTAAATAAGTGCATATTATGATGAGCACACAAGTGACTACACCAAAATTGTAATTTTGTGCATCGGTTTCTGGTGATAAACGGTGTTGCCGTGGTTATATAATGAAATTTCTGTGAATTCTTTGAAAATGCTCTCTGCCTACAGTTTTGGTCTGATTTTGATATAACTTGGCATACAAGTAGACTACACTAAGATACATAATTCTGTGCATCGGTTTTTGATTTATATGAACATGAATTCTTTGAAAATCTGCCATGGTTATTAAAAATAAAAATTTCTGTGCAAATTCTTTCAAAATGCTACTCCTTCTGCAGTTTTGGTCTGATTTCAGTATAACTTGGCACACAAGTAGAAAATACTAAATACAAATTCTGTGCATTGGTTTTTATTTTGATGATGGTAAGGATCATTTTTCTATTTATTGCTGAATTTCAAAGTCTCAAGGGGGGCTGTCCCATACTGAAACTATGAATTGTTTGAAATCTTCCTTTGTTTTCAAAGTATAAACCAGTAGAGCTATGTGTGCTCGACAGAGACTTCATGGTTAGTATATACCAAGTGTTTCTTTGCTGAAAGTAGAATCCAGTGGTTTTAAAACTGTAGCACTAATTGTTAAATTTATTTCAAAACTGTAATGCCATAGCATCTGGATTAAAACATGAATCAAATTCAATCAAAAGTTGTTGCATAAAGGTGACCTATAACCTGGGCCTTTGTTAGTTCTAACCTGATTAAATTTTTATACTCGGCCATTCTTCTTCATGCTTAGTAACACAAATAAGATTATTAAATGTTGCATTTACTTGTAGAAATAAAAAAGGTATAGGAAGCAAAAATGCACACACAAAAAGATGACATTTTCTTCTTCATAACAATCGCCCAAGAGAGTTAAAAATCTTGAATTTAGTCTATTCCCCATTTATTTGACCCATTATTTCAAGTAGAGTGAAGATATTATCTTTCTTTTAGTCAACACCTCTATCCAAAACAATGTTAGGAACCCTTTTTGTACATAACAATACCAATGCTGAAGCAGCCTATATTTCATTCCTATAAATGATAACTCATAAATCAGCACTAAGTTGCTCATTTTTCACACTTGAGTTACCTTTTCTTAAAACACAACGTTGTACTAGTCAATTAAAAATAATTTAAACTTTTTAATGATTGAATTAAAGGTATGCATAAGTTATTATCTTATTTGATAAGAAATACGCATGCTAACTCTCGATTCCCGCCTACATTTTGGAACCATTTAATTCAAAATGAATAGGAATTTGGCCGTAAAATCTTTGTTTAATTTAATACAAATTAATACCAGCGCTAAACAGTGTATTATCTACAATTCCAGCTCTTTAAAAAAGGGGGGTAGACGATATTTTCCTTTGAAATCGGAGTTTCAAGCATAACCGTATTTTGAAATTGTCTTGGATATGATTAAATGTTCCTTATATCTTTTCTTTTGTCATAGGCAAATAAAGAAAACATGAATATATCAATGAAATATTATGTTTCAGTTATAAATCGCTTTGAAATTGGTGGAAAATAAACATTTTTATCGTTTTTTGTCAATAAACGTATGTTCCCCCCTGTAACACACAAAAAGCTTTGGTATGAATTTGTGATATAATATTCCATATTACCTGTGAAAAGGAATTTTTGTGACACAGGGGGAAAGATGTTTTAAAAATATTTTCCGTTTTCCGTTGATTTCCATAGTGAAAAACACAAGTATTACCAAACTTTTAGAGTTATCTCTCTTTGTTTTTCCAAATAAGTAATGTTTTATGAAAATCCATGTAATTATCTATAAAAAATATTAAAAATTCATAAAATATGTTAACTTTTGAAAATTGACTGGAGGTAGGCGGGAGAACAATACTATCATTCGCAGTTCTTTCATGTACATATAAATCTATATATGAAATGTTTTTTACCATATTGTGCAACTTGAAAAATTAGTTGAAAGGCCTATATCTACACAAAATACTAGTAGTTGCAGCTCATATAAATGGTTAGTGAAATTTTAATACAATTTACACCCTTATAGCAAACAGAAACTGAAAGCCCTTTACGGGAGTTGGGTGAAAGAGCTGTATGCTGTAAATCCAGCAGAGTATGATGAATTTATGAAGGAATTAAACTCAGGAACCTCACCTAGTCAAAGTGCCAAAGTAAGTATAAAGTATTCACAACTGCCTGAAGAGCATACCTTTGCAAAAGCACTTGCATTTTAGCATGTTTAGTGTGTTACTAGTATTTTGATATTTTTATTATATTATTTTTGGTTTTTATTTATATTATCACAGTAACTTGTTGATAATTTTTAGCTCTACTGGTCAGAGACCAGAAGAGCTTATGCATCCAGCATCTGTCCGTCTCTCTGTAAACAATTTTTCAAAATGCCACTCTTCCTACAGTTTTGGGAATGTAATTTGGCACACAAATAGATAGACTAAGACACATAATTTTGTATATCAGTTTTTGATTTCGATCAACGGTGTTGCCATGGTTACTGAAAATAGAAGTTTCTGTTGAATACTTTCAAATGCCATTCTTCCTTTAGTTTTGGTTTGATTTCAGTATAACTTGGCACACAAGTAGACTATACTAAGATACATAATTCTGTATATCGGTTTTTGATTTCGATGAAGGGTGTTGCCATGGTTACTAAAGATAGAAATTTCTGTGAAATACTTTCAATATACTACTCCTCCTACAGTTTTGGTATGATTTCAATATAACTTGACTAGACTACACTAAAATAAATACAGTCAAACTAGTTGCTTGTCCTATGCAGTCATTTTATTTCCTCCCAATGAAATTTCCTATATAAAATTACTATATTAAGTGGTCACCTGTGTAACACAGGCAGCGGTCATCAATTTTCAAAGGATGTCCTTAGCAGCCATTTTGTCCAATCGTGTGACCTGATTTGGAGTCAGCTGATTCCCAATTTTTGTTACTAATGTAAATAATTGGTCAAGCGTTACGAGATCATGAACAAAAATTAATAATTGGACTTTATTTAATACCGGTTATATTACTGGATAGGCATATGAATTATTTTACGAACTAACTGGTTATATATTTTACAAAACTCGAATGCAACACCCTGTTAGATTCAATATACAGGTATTTTATTTATTTTCTTGGATTCATTAAATTTATTAATTCATCCACAAAAACTATGCATCTATGGAATAAAAAAAAATAAGTGAGATCACTAATGTCCAATACCTAACTTTCTCATATACTTAAGTGTTTCTTCTAAATTCTTTAACTAAGGGTCCCTTTGATATAAACTTTTGGGAATCAAAAAGATTTTTTGAGGGTCAAAATATATTCTGGTTTTGCTTTCAATTCTTATTTTAGCTCTGCGTTCTAAAATCATATATTTGGTGTTTAAAAATATTTATTTACCTGTACACAGTCACATTTTAGCGATTACACCATTGGGGTTTCATGAATACCTCAATTAAAAGAAAACAAAATTGAAAGTGGTTGTCTGCTTTACAAAACTGTTTATTAATGTTTTGAACTTTCCTCACCTTTTTATTACCATAATTAGCCTTTTTGACAAAGCCAAGTTGATATAAATATGCCAGTGTAAACTGAACATGCTGAAGCGCCATTTTTATCTGCACTTGCATTTTGGGAAGAATTACATAGATCATACAAAACAATTCAAAAGATTGTTGACATGGAAATTTTGATTCAAATCACTGCCTTTCTTTGAAATTTGAAATTCATTGTCTTTAATGTCTCTCAGTTGAGATGATACACAGGGGCGTGCTAAAGTACAGACAGTTTCTCTCAAAAATGTGACAACTAAAAGCATGATTAATTCCTTCAGTGAATTCTCATTTTTTAAAAGGGGCCTGGGCCTTTACAATTGGGAAAAATTGTCAACATTTGTATCAAAAAAATATTTTAAAAATTGTCATGTAACCTTAATAGGCAGGTAAAATAAACTATGTAAGTAAATGTAACATCATTTATCAATATATTTACTACAAAACAATAAATTAAACACAGTTCCATATTTTTAATCTTTTTTAAAACTTTGAAAGTTGTTAATGTGACCAACCTATATCAGTATACATGTATTTCCTTTTTTTTGCTCTGACAATATTGGTAGACAGAAAATCCTTCTTTTAATAGCCATGGTTTAAGATAGAATAAAAATGATTTATTACATTATGTATTTTTCAAAGTAATTATTAAAGCTTTCTAATTACCCTAGCTACACATAATGCTGCAATTTTTCTCTACAATACTAATTAAATCTGCCGGATGTAGAAACAGTTTGATTTTCGTGGTATCAGGGATGCTTCTTGTAGAACTATTAGTACTTGGATTTACAAATAAAGCTATGTTTCGTCGGTTAATATGCATCTTACACTTTCTAACGATGTATTTACACACAAGTTTGACAAGGAGACCCATGTTTTTTTCTATGTCTTGTTAACGCTTAGAGTAATGTGATGTTCCTACATGTTATTTTAAGAGTCAGTGACTGAGAACAAAAGCGTTCCATTTTAGATAAGTCGTACGTAAAAAATTCAATATAACAAAAACAACGGTTTTGTGTTGGGAAAAAAAGCAACAGAAATTGGGAAAAAATCGGTATTTTTTGAGACAGAAAGGGCCAATTCGGACCCAAATTGGATGTAGAAAAATCACTGGAAAGTTTTCCAGAATGTAAATTAACATGTAAGATATCTTCTTCTATGAAGGCATCATTATTGAACTGGATTTTTAAAATTTGTTTTAATTTTTTTTTGCATCATTTTGATCCTTTAGGTGACGTTTTTGTGGGTAAAAAGTAATTTTTATGCATAAAATATGCAGAAATATGCGTTAACAGAAACACTGTACTTTGTAGTGAAATCATATTATAAACACAGAACTGATATAATAATATTTGTATATTTCCTTTAACGAGGCCCAATCTACTTGATCTGTGCATACGTTTTAATGCAGCGTCAACTCAGGCACGTCACAGTACCCTTGCCTGCCGTCACAATTGAAAACAATTTTAAAATGACGTCAAATTGCGCTAAAATGTTTCGCTAATCTTGCATACCTGGAAGCTCTATAGACTGTGCATATTGAAAGCTGGCTCATTCTAGCATTTCTATTATTTACATCAGGGTTTTTAGCTCACCTGAGCCAAAGGCTCAAGTGAGCTTTTCTGATCAAAATTTGTCCGTTGTCTGTCGTTGTCATTCACTGTAAGTCTTTATTGTCATTTGGAACTCTGAAGTGAAAGGACTTATCTTTTTGATGGTAAGGAATTACACGTTTTTTTATATTATAGCACCTAGCATTAGAATTCAACAGAATAGTTTCAATGCAAGAAAATATCGGAGGCATTAAATAAATCGTTCATCTTGCATCACTGTTTGTTCACTGTTTTTAAATTCGCTTTGCGTTCACTCACCGTTCTCAGTTCACACATCGTTCACCAAGTTGCGTTCAGTGTTCACACATGTTCACTTAAGGTTTGCTCTGTGTTCCTTCATCATTCATTCACAGTTCAGGTGGGAAATTAGAACGTTTAGACTATAGGATACTTCTTAGGACATATCTTAGGAATATCTTAATTAAGATAGGGGTAAGATCCCCCCAGAGTTCTTAAAAGCATATAAGTGGACCTCAGATATGACGCTTCATTGGAAAATTTTTTCGGGAATGTATTTTTTTAAAGTAATTTTGACTCATTTTAAAGCAGTGTTTCTAATTACGGCTCTTTTTTACTACAAAATGTAACGTTATAATTTGGCCATTTTATGCGGTGACGGTAACTTTTTCAAGTTGTACTTCCACTCTTGTCAAATTCACGCCTGAACTGAGTGATAATTGTTATCAAAACACTGGCCGGATTGATTGTACAAGACGACCACCTGTGACCTGTTATGAATGACTTACGATGGTAGTCCACAGATTAAGCATGCTATACGGTAGATCGATAACTGAAAATAAACAATTAACTGTTCGGGAAAAAAATTTTCTATTCAATTATTTGTTAAAGATATATAATTTTAGTACAGAGCTGGTTTTAAATATTCTATTTATAGGTCACGGTGACTACATAGTTTCATAATGTCGTGATTGTGTAATTTTCACTGTAGATTGGTGGCAGTTTCATGAAAACAACCCCTAAAACATTCAATCAAATTTGAATAATTTTAGACTGATTAGAATCGCTTGTAAGGATGATTACTGCGTGAATTTTTAATATGTCAGATTTAGCGTGGACAGTGTTCAAATTAAAATTAGACTCGATAGACAGCTCGCTTGGGTGTAATCAAAGCTGCAAATGAAAATTCGCTTGGCTATGTTCATCATTTTAGAAAGTAAGTCATCAAAATTTGTGAGTTGATGCTGGGTTTTTAAAAATTTCCATATAAGCAGCGTTATTTCCAATGTTATGTCTATTCTGCTCTCTAGCTTCAACATCAAATGTCTACACCGCCGCAAATAGATTCATGAATTTCCGAATTTTTCAAGAAAAAATTCATGCAACAGAAATGTTTGGGAATTTTCAAATCAGTTTTTTTGAGAGGAGAATATCATGAATATTTTTATTTATTCATGAAGACCCAATTTCTTTGTCATTTCAAGAATGTCATTTAAAAAATCTTCATGAACTATTCTGAAAAAATTTTTTATTTTCTAAGAATTTTGACATTAATTAATTGCATTTGTAAACAAAAAAGCAATATTCTTTAAAGAGGTATGAAAAGGACTAAAACTATCAAATTTTAAATTGATTTAAGGATGTTTATTCATAAATTTGTTTTAATTTTTTTTCTGCATAAACCACCATTTGACATCCTTTAGGTGACAGTTTACTGTGGGTCCTCAGGAACCCAAAGCATCAGAAATTGACGTTCCAGTCTATGGAGGCATGGTATTATAACATATGCAGCGAGTCTATTCGGAATATGTTGTTACTAAAAATGTTGCTACAATTTGATTGGTTGTTTTTTATACTGAACAAGCTTGGTAAGTGAAGATTTCAGTTATTCCAGAGGTTATCTTCACAGATTACAATTAATGATATAATAATATTTGAAGTCTTGATATGTTCGTGTGAATTTGTGCTGTGAAACAGACAGGACGAGGCTCCAGCATCTACTTGATCTGGCATGAGAGTTACAAACAATTGGACAACCCAAATGCAGCGTCAACTCAGTTCCTGCCACGTCACAGTAGAATCGAGGAATAC